GTTGCAGGATGTCATCACTGAGATTGTCGTATCTCAACGCAAAGAGGAGGAGTTTCAGGCGAGGATTTTGCAAAGAGCTGATGTTGACAACAGACATGGTTTTGCGCGGCTCTGCTTTGAGCATGATCTGCGCAACTGCTATGACACCGATGGACACCTGCGTTGAGTGAAGCGGCGCCAGAAGTTACATCAAGCAATGTTTGCGTTCGCGGCACGTTTTGGTTCTGTGACAAGGACTATGTGACCACCATCCGGGAGAAGCTTCGAGTCTTGTGTGCAATGAAAGAGGGACTGAGGTTTGAAAGTATCAAGCGCCTTTCGTTTTGCATGTGCATAGATCTACCTTCCATCATTGCAGGCATCAGCCCATTGGGGGGGGATCCACGTAGAATAGTGTAGCCAACACATAGTCTTCAGTGCAACAAGCATGGCAGCTATGCAGGACTGAATTCTTAAAAAGAGATTGCAATCTCACAGAGGAATTCGAATGACTTGACGGTAGGGCTTCTCCGGAACTTCAGCAGAGTGCAACACAAAAGGCACACTGGATTGAGTTCCACCTTGTTCATCGCCAGTTTAAACTCCCGGATTAACAACCCCTTGGGTTGATTGATAGGTCTGATAGGGGAGGAGCCGTCCCCTTTTAGTGGGGTGTCATCACTCTTGCATGGAACACGCGCTTTTGAATAGGAGGGGTTCACTAAATCCGGCTGCGGCAGTATGATGTCCATCTTGTCCACTGCCACTTTGGGGCTGCTTGTTTGGCAAGACTGCTCCAGCGGTCAGACTTCAACGACATGCACACCCCACATCATTGGGGTCCTTGTTGTTCCCTGATTCCTTTATTTGTCAGCTGTTTGCCCATTTGTCCCTCCACTTGGGCTAAGGCTACCAGCTCGCTGTCAAAACAACTTTGACAGTCTTGCGATGATTTCTTGCCAGGGCCTTGCAATCAGTCAAAACGTGAATCGCTGTGGCTGGCATGTTTGCGCCCGCTGCTTTTAGTTTTGCCTGGCTCAGATTGTAAATTTTCGCCAAGGACCTGTGTGTGGAAGATTTCGAACGAACTGCAGTTGCGTCAGAGGCGACATCCAGAGTGTGGCGAGCGCCTCAGGTGGGAAGCTGCGCTTGAGTAGCCTAAAACTGGTTCCGTTTTTTGACTACCCCAAAGTCGACTTAAGTGCAGGGGTGGTTGATTTCTCAAAAAGGGAAACCCCTGGTAGTCGAAAAACGGAACCCTGGGCTGAAACCGTGCGGTTCGGGGCTTTAGCCATAGGTTTCAAGACAAGACGGATTCGTATGCTGAGCATGGCGGAAGGTGCGATTTGCTGATGGCTTGGCTCAGGATCCTGCCATCGTACTAAAGTCCATCGAGGACAAGCCCCGGAACATGAGCTGCGTGCCCTTCCTAAGTTGCAACTTGGCATTCAAGGGTGGTCTGGAGGCCTCTCTCCATATTTGTTGATCCGTTTTTGGTGCCCCCAGTTGGCACCAATAGTGGGGTTGGGCGCTCAGAGGTATCAGGACGTGGTGGTTGTTTCTTGCTTCTTCATGTTTGTCTCCATGTCCATTTGCTCTGTCAAGCAAACAGCTGTTTGAACAAACAAGCGCCGCCGAGTGTTGTCACGCCTTCGAGGACTGGGCCAAAAGGACGACGCCATGCCGAGAACGAACGCAGCAACACAACAAACTATTTTGCAAATAGCTGACTCGCGCGCGCTCTTCCCAACACTCTGCCACGCGAGTTGCATCAGCTATGTTTATCGCATAAACCCATCAGTGAAACAAGTTGCACGCAGTTCGTTGATGGCCTGCAAACCGTTGGTCTTTGGTGCTGCCTGTGTCCGACGGGCGCATGGTCTGTCCAGTAGCTTCCCCGGCAAATCGGGCAGGCCTGTCCTCAGAGGAGCACGGCCGAGTGCAGGCCTTCCTCCAGAAGGCGAAGGATGCCAGGCCGGGTTCGGTCCTCGAGGTGTTTGAGTGAGAGACAGGCACAGCCTGCAGCTAAGACAGAATACTTCCGAGTCGTGGTAGCAGAAAAATATGTCATGGTATGGAAAGCTGCTGTGAAGCGTGGTTGGTGCACCCCCTCCAGTCAGGATGTGGAAGCACGAGTCCTTTGGCCAGCACTACTTACTGGTGTGGGCAGCAGGCCACGAGCTGAGGCTCGCTCGAGGGTTTTGGCTTGGCGGATGGCTGCAGGCAGAACACACACACACACACGAAAAGCCACAGCTTTTGATTTGCTGGAGACGGATTGAAAAACAAACTTTAAATGTCAAAGTGGGCAGGGCCGGTTCTTGTTTTTGTTTTGTTCCTTGAGCGCTCCTGTGCTTTGATGTGAAAATCATGACCTAGGGGGAACTGAACATGTTCCACTATTTTTTGTTACCCAGGGATTCCGCGATGCTCTGTGTTTTTGCCTTTCAGTGATAGGGCTGTATTTAACCAAGTGGCGCCTTTGAAATTTGCACTACCTGCAAGTTTCGCAATTTGTCACATATGTTGGATTCCGCATGGTTTGGTCCTCAACGCCAAACGCTCAATCAACTGCAACAGAACAGCTGTCTGCTAGGGATTAGTTCACAACCCTCTAGTGAGGTGCACCCTCAGACATCAGGAACCCCAGGAAAGGGTGGTATCTGCAGATCCCCCCTCCCCACACACGACCCTCCAAGATCCTTAAACACGAGCTACTTCCCTAAATTCGGTCGGGAATCCTGAACCCATCTTCACCCCAAGTTTCGGGGTTGTATGATTCCGCAAAAGTGGGTGGGTGGGGGGGGTATGGGTGTGAGTTCCTGACCACCCCCCCCAAAAGCCCCCCTCCCTCCCTCCTTTTCCCCCTGCGCCAGAGGCGAAAATGACTCCAAGAAGGGCCGCCACCCTGGGCTTAGGTACAGCCCCAACTGCTTAGGTACAACCCCAAAATACAGGGAAGCCACCATTTACAAGGCAATGTTCAGGTGTATAATGTAAGGATCCCTGTATAACCTGTATTCCTGAAACTCTTTGTTTGGGGTGGTGCCCAAAACTGGAGTACCCCCTATCCCCCGCCAGTGCTTAAGTAGAAGGGGAGGGCTCTGTCCTTGTTTGATTGTTTTGATTGAACAAAAAAACAGTTGCTGTGGTTTTTAGGAAGTCCATGCCTCAGTATCACTGATTTGGCGTGTGCGCTGGTCAAACAAGACTGCTTTGTGCAAGACGTTCGGGGGAATCAATGCCTCAAAAAAGGCGCCCCCCCCCCCCTGTGTTTAGGCAATTGGGGTTGTGCTGAAGTACGGGCGTGTGCTTAAGATTTGGGCACCGCCACCTCCTTGAGTTTAAGGGTTGTAACCGTAAACCCGTAGTACTGAAAGTTAACAGTTCTGCAGAGGGGCTCGTTTTAGGCTCGCGGCCTGTTTGGCCGCCATCCTCGAGGAACAAAAAACATTGTAAAGCAGAATAAGGGAACAAGGTGTCCACCTGTAAAAAAAGCCTGACATGTAATTGGTTGGGGTGGGTGTTGTTGTCTTATGCTTGGTGAGGCGCACCTTTGACAAGCCGATAGACTCGGCACTGCAGTCTTGCAGGTTGCTTGCTCCAGCTTTGCGCCTTGACAGGTTCTCCATTATCAGCGAGGACTCAGAATCCTCCAGGAACTTTGTGAGCACCATGAAGCCGCGCGCTTTTTAAGATGTCCATGGCGCGAAACATATTTTTTCAAATTGGATCGAGATGGAGGGCGCCATGGTCGCATGGTTGGGAGGATTTGAGCGCTTCACCTCGTCAGCCTTCGTTTTGGCCAACAGACCCTGTTTCCAAGTCTGGCATGGCAGGCTATTGCCGCTGCAATGTGCTTGCTGTAGGAAACTGTTTCATGACATTCCTGAGCAATGAGCAATGCTTCCCGCAGCTCAGCGGAAGTACTTGGCAAGGAAGATGGGGCGTGCCGCTGGCATAGGCAGATAACTGCTTGACATTGTGGTTCCACAGTTGCGACAAATGCTTCTGGACAATTTGATGATATGTTTAATTTCTATGCTGCTTTGTAATATTAATGGGTGCAAATTGTTATCATATATTTTGTTTTGCACTTAAAACTAATGAACGTGAATTGTCTTCCCTATGCTGGCGAGACACTCCTGTGCATGGCTATCCGCCAACGTGCCGAGCTCAGCTCCGTGTTTGGAACGCAGCTCGTTTGCCGTGCTCAGCCCTGAGAGCCCTGCGCCGTCAGCTGGCTGTCGGCTCCTCATTTTGAAGGAAGGATCCTGGCAGAACATGCCAAATGAGACCTGTCATCTGCCTTTTTCGGCAGCATGCATTGCCTTCTGGACCAAGCTAAACACTTTTGTCAGCGTTTGCACCCCTGATTGAAAACGTCATCCCAGCTGTCAAGAGCCGAAAAGACTGAGCCGTTTCGGGTCCTTTACGCCCAGCCGGAGCAAGGTAACGGCGAGCCAGGTGGCTGTGGGTCAAAACCAATGGTACTGTTTTGGGGTAGGTGAAATCACCACCCATTTTGGAACCTATTTTAGTGGGGATTGGGATGTTCACTGGGGTGCGGGCTTCTGACCCATGGCCAGGTGAGTGTAAGTTTCACTCTCTGCCAAAGGCAGTCTGTTTCAGGGTGTTGTTCTTTTTTTGGGCCGCCAGGCGCACGCAGTGTAAACCGACCACTGGCGGCGGGCGTTCTCTGACATGTCCTGATCTTTGGCATCACATCAGGGTTGAGCTTGAGTCTTAGAGCACTTGTTTGTTTGGGTTGCAGTTTCTTCGAGCCAATCTCAAACACTGTTTCTTCAACATGCACCATCAGCAATGCTCACGTTTCTCCGCGAAGATGTCGAGAATGGTCGGGTCACATGCATTTAGGCACTGTTGAAAGCATGCATAGGTTTTTCTCAAGATGGGGAGCTCCGCTCTGGTTGCTTTGAATCGTGACTTGCAAGATAAAGCCCAGTTTAAACCAAGGAGATGGAAGAGTCCCCAATTTCAAGGCATCCATCTTGGCACAGGATCGGAAAAAGCACATGGAGGAGGCGAAGGCGCGGTCAAGGGAATTTGGGCCGTTCGTGTCATTCCTTCCTTTTTCCCAGGCTTTGGGTGAAGAGATTCAGAAGACCAACGAAGCCAAGCAGAAGGCCTGTGAGATCGGGAGCGCATGCCGATTTACGACTCATGAATGGGTGCTTCCTGCCCAACATCAGAGCTGAAGGGGGGACATGGAGTTGAAGGCAACCACGAGCTCATGGATTTCACTTTGAATGAAAAAGACGATCTGGGTTTCAAGGTTCTCGAGTTTCCTGGCGTCAGGTGCAGGAAGCATTGGCAACGTTGAGCGAAAAGTTGCGGCAGGCTGCGCCAAGCCAGCCTTTGTCACATGTCTGTTTGAGTAAGGCAGTGAGGAATTGAGAATGTATGTATATGTGTGTGTGTCGAATGGGCATGACATGCATTGCACTGCATTACACCACAGCCAATTGAAGATGTTTGTACCAGGTGGTCAAGATATCACGATTGCAACTCCTGTAACATAAGCTCTTGTATCACGTATCACTTTCTAACCTACAGTACACATATGATGTCCCCAAAGAAGACTTCCAAGAAGAAGAGAAATCGATGACATGGTAAGGATTATTGATAGAAGCGTTGAAACTTATGGATGTCCAAGAAGACAAATACATGTTGATAGAGTTCAGGATCTCCTCCAAAGATTGGATCACCTAAAATTATATTGGAATGAAGATCAGGCAACGTGAAAACAAGTGTACCAGGCAAGATGGGTAATGTTCATAAACGCATGACATTTGTAATGAAGCAAGAGCAAGGAAACCATGGGATAGTCTTTAATAAAAGATGATCAGATCTCTGATTCAGAATTTTTGTCCGAATGCTAAGAGATGCAAGACACAAAATTATACCAGAGATTAAAAATCCAAATATGATGCGTGCTGTACTTGCAGGTGATAAAGTCATAAAAGGACTGGAGAGTGGTGGACATAACGTCCATCCTGTGCCAGATTAAAGAAAGGATTAGGAAAGATATAACGCAAAAGAACTATGGGGGATAAATGATTGACTCTACAATATGAAACTTCTGGAGATCCTTGAAAGATAGGTTCAAAATTATCTCCGAATCCTCCCATCATGCCACGCATTCCTAAAAAGAATATAAGAAGAAAGCCATGCGGTGGAATGCTGATATTTTTTTAGAAGTTCTGGTTTTCTGGAGATATAATCCTATTTCCTGATGAATGCCATTCCATTCATACAAGGATTGATTTTAATGTACCAGAGGTTCCAAAGATGAATTCAGGTCAGAAACAGATTCCTACGCCTTCGTGATTACATCTTTTGGCTAGTGAATGAACCAATAGTAAAATAGTGGCATAGAAATTATATAAGTCCAGCGTTTTAATCGTTGGCTTTCCTTCGTCCTTCATCACCCATTCCTTTCTTAGCCACCAGATGGACAAAAGAAAGGAGGTGGTGGGAGAATGGAGGATAGGGTTGGGTAATATGATGAAGGGACATGATAGCTATAAAAGCTTCTCCGTAAAAGTGTGTACCATGAATTATTTTCTATGTTGGTTTCATGTAGTATGTCTTTATCTTATTATGTCTCTATTCTTATATTGTTTCATATCTCTGTCATTATCATCTTTCATATCTGTTCCTTTCTATTTCTCTCTCACCTATCATTTCATTTATACATGTTTGCGGTTGGAGCTAGGATCATCAATTATTAGCTGTAAAGGAAAGTGTGAATGATATATTGCATTCCCGCGTCCAGCTCCTATGGAATGCTTTTGAGCCGCTATCATCCCTTTCCTATCTCCCTCTCTGTCTCTCTCTCTCTCTCTCTTCCCTCCTTTTCTTCGTTTGTCGGGTCATTCCAGATGAGATAGAGGGATGATAAAGGGAACGCAGAGAATAGAGCCATTCCGTATTTCTCCATTCGCTCATTCGGAGAGAGAGAGAGAGAGAGAGAGAGAGAGAGAGAGAGAGAGAGTGTGGATGGACGAGGAAACTGTAGCCTCCGCTCTCTCAGACACAAGAATAGTCCAAAAGCCGTCCAAACGCTCGAAATCTCGCTCTCACATCCCACCGAGTTCATCTCTCTAGGATATGCCTTCATTCACAGTGTTCATTCTGAATGGTGAAGGAAGGACATGTACGGGAAAACCATTCCTTTCACTTGTTTACTCCTTCAATCCAAGCATCTGTCCTAAAGAAACCAATAATAAAGATATGGAAAGAGAAGGACAATATGTTTATTACAATTAGAAAATGGAAAAGGAAAGGAAAAAATGGAAAGGAAGGAAAAGGATACATCTTAAACAGATTGGAGGTGCTTCTTGGACGGGAGACGGATAGCAGCGTCCAACTCATTCATCATTCATTCACTCCGAATCCTGACTGTAGAAGCAAATTACACGCAAACCAAAGCATCGTATGAAATAAGATCGATACCATTGCACAGCATAGCATCATATACCCATGCACGCACAGAGTTATATGTATACAGACGTGTGTTTTTGGCTTCTGAATTGTACGACACGGCCATGGTTCAAAACCAATGGTACCATTTTGGGACAGTTGCACCACCCATTTTAGAACCTATTTTCGTGCGGATTTGGATGTTTACTGGACTGGGGGTACGGCGTTTGACCCATGGCCACACGTGTGCGCAAAGAGCGGACTCGGGTCTGCAGCCTTGCTCACCGAACAGGCGCAGGAGGAAGCTGCTGTGGACCCCTCGGCGGCGCAGCGCGCCAAGACGCTGGCGGGGTTGCTGGCCCATGAGGACTCGCAACACCTTGCTGCACTGCAGCGAACATATCAAAGGAAAAATAATCTCTGAACTTGCTGGGCCCCCAAAATGCCAGCAGCTCCAGCTGGTTTGGGGGAGTTCGTGGAGGATCGATCAACACCCCTGCAAGCCTTTGGAGCACGTACATCAACGGGTGTTGCATGAGTGCTACTATGAAACGCATTGCGCAATGGCCATGACACATGAGATGGCTTCTGCTGGCAGTCAGGAGCCCCGGCTTTTGCAGCTCTTTGACGAGAAGCGACAGCGGCCTGGAGCCAAGAACCGGTATGCCTTTTGTTGAGCACACCTCTTTGGGTAGTCGTGAGCTTGCAACTTGTCCGGTTGGGTTTTTGAGGGTGGGGTTGACACCTGCCAGCTTGAGCTTGTTTTTTGCTTGCGGCTGCCCCCCGGCAGAAGAAAAAACTCCATGCTGAGTAGGCCTTTGCTGGTCGAGGCATGTCTTACATCGGCGCTTTGATTTGCCCTTCAACATATGGCCGTGGGTCAAAACCAATGGTACCATTTTGGGACAGTTGCACCACCCATTTTAGAACCTAGTTTAGTGGGGATTGGTTGATGTTCTCTGGGGGTACGATTTGGGTTTTGACCCATGGGCATATCACGCAAAGGGACGCCAAAAAGCCGCCGCATTCAGCGCACGACTCCGGCGCCCAGCTACGAGCTGGACTTCGCTCGGCTCAAGGAGCTCAAGTTGGGCCGCCCAGTTGCGCACGCAGAAAGTGGCTGCTCAAAAATCCGGAATTCCAAAATGGCTTGCCCTGGTAATTGGAAACGACCAAAACCTGCGGTTTGCCCCTCCTGTTTAATTTTGAGCCGCACCCAAGTAACCGCAGATCGAATGGGAGAATGTGTACCCCAAGTCTTCCACCACCTTCATCCAGTTTTGCACCCCATTCGATCGATTTCTTTTTGCGCGCATGTTCAAATCTGTATGGGTGTGCGTGAGTGCGTGCGTGAGTGAATGCGTGCGAGCGAGCTTGCGTACGTGAGCAAGTGCGTGCCTGCGTGCGCACGTGCGTGAGCAAGTGCGTGCCTGCCTGTGTGAGGGCATTCGTCCGTGAGGTGTGTGTTTGTGTGTCTCTTTGTGTCTCTGCGTGGTTGTATGTCTCTGTGTGTGTGTGTTTGCTTGTTTGCCTGCTTGCTTGTTTGGATTGTTTTTTTGTTTGTTTGTTTGTTCACTTGCTTGCTTGCTTTCTGGCTTTTGTTGTTTTGTGTGTTTGTTGTATGTTTGTGTTTGCATGTGTTGTTTGTGTTTGCGTGGTTTGCGCGCTTGCTTTGTGTGCGCGTGTGTTTGCTTGTTTGTGTTTGGAGAGTTGGTGTGCTTGCGTGTTTGTGAGGGTGTGTGTGTGTGTGTGTCTCGTTGTTTTGTTTTTGTTTTGTTTTGTGTGTGTGTGTTTGATATGGTCCAGGCACGTCGCATCCTCCCCCATTGCAAACTTCAGACTACTTACTCTTGAAGATCGATGTCGCCGCGTGTGGTGAGCAAGCAGTGCCCTGAAATACTTGGTGGTCTTATCAACCAACAAGTGCGGGTCTATGTCTTTGTTGTGCTTCGTATGTCAATGTCTGTTTGCCTGTGTCGGCCTGTGCATTTCTGAGTTGGTGTGCCTCGGTGTGTGTGTGTGTGTGTGTGTGTGTGTGTGTGTGTGTGTGTGTGTGTGTGTGTGTGTGTGTGTGTGTGTGTGTGTACGTGCGTGCGTGCGTGCGTGCGTGCGTGCGTGCGTGCGTGCGTGCGTGCGTGCGTGCGTGCGTGCGTGCGTGCGTGCGTGCGTGCGTGCGTGCGTGCGTGCGTGCGTGCGTGCGTGCGTGCGTGCGTGCGTGCGTGCGTGCGTGCGCGTTGTGTGCGTGCGTGTGCGTGGCGTGCGTGCGTGCGTGCGTGTGTGTAAGGTATGTATATGGTGGTATGTGCGTGGGGGTATGTACATATATGTGTGTGTGTGTGTGTGTGTGTGTGTGTGTGTGTGTGTGTGTGTGTGTGTGTGTGTGTGTGTGTGTGTGTGTGTGTGTGTGTGTGTGTGTGCGTCTTGGTGTGCACGCGTGTGCCTGCCAGGCGTGAGATTGGCCACTTGGAGCACGCTGAGAAGAAGCTGGAGACTGCTGCGCTCAGCTCAAGTTCGCCTGAGTGCCAGAGACAGCCTCTTCGCAGTGCATAATTTGCTGGGAGAGACCGCATGGGCACACTTGGGCAGGTGCAGTCGGAGTTTCAGCACTGGCGGAAGGCGGTAGCACAGAGGTATCCACCAGAGGCTTGCAGATGGATGTTGCATGTTGTTTTGTCCATGAGTTTTGGTGCAAAAAAAGCTGAGCCACAATCAAAACCCGGGTAGATGAAGGTTCGTAAGGGACAATCCCAACCATAAATAGCTGCCGCCTTCTTAATTATTTGCATGGTTCTGGGTCGACCATTTTAATACCGGGTATTGATTATGACTCAGCTGGTGCTTTTGCAACCAGCACTTGTGCTACTGTGGATGGACGAAATCCATTTCGCACCACCTAAGAATCCCTGGAATGAATTTGACTCCCCTGTAAATACCAACAAACCGTGGGTTCCCATGTGGCTGTGGGTCAAAACCCCGGACCCCCAGTGAACATCCCAATCCCCACTAAAATAGGTTCTAAAATGGGTGGTGAATTCACCAATCCCCCCAAAATGGGATCCCATTGGTGTTGATTTACGGCCATGTTTTCCACTGCGAACGGATTTGTGTCCCTCAGCACACTTGTGCTGAACGTCCAGGCCCCGACAGAAGGCGCCGGACGCCTCGTCCTAGAGGACCCGGAGGCGGACGCGCAGGATGCGCAGGCGGCCGCGAGGGGGCTGAGGGGCCGAAGTGGAAAGCCGCGCAGAGACTTGTTGATGTTGCACAAGTTTTTGCTTTGTGCGATATAATGTTGGTTCCCTTTCTATTGTTGTCAGCACGTTTAGTGATGTGTCCAAATACATTTGATTTCATTGGCTTAGTTGTTTGCCTGGCTGCAAGGTGACCGCTGCGGGGAAAGCCTTGGACACCTTGCGGCTCCGCTTGCAGGAGTTAAGCCGGTGTGCGGTGTCAAGATGCAAGGGGTGCAGTGTCTAGTGTTTTGTTATGAACGCTTCGAAAAGGTGCGAAAATGCGCTTTTTCGTTTGAGGAAAACTATGCGAATGGTCACTTCCAGTTGCCTTTGGCGTCCTGCCCTCCATGTTGCAAGGAGGCTGAAGACGCCGGCGATGAGCCCAGGCCAGTGTATTACTCTTTGCCTCCACTGAAAGGACTGTGGTATGCCCATGTCCGGTGTTGAGGCTGTTGAGGAAGTGGTTCTGTTTGTTGGCTTGAGGAACCAAGTGAGGCCAGGGCTCGACTTAAACCCAGTGGCTCATTCCCCCAGAAGAAACCCTGGGTTTAAGCAGGGGTAGTCAAAAAGTGGAGGTTTGAGTAAGGCCATCAACCTGGAGACTCCAAGGCAGCACCCACTTTGTGAGGCGCCGGGCTTTGGCGCAGCTGCTCGCAACGGAGGAGCCGAGGATCGCGCGCTTGCGCGCCAGAGGCCGGCCGGCTTTTTCAACACCAAAATAAAGGGAAGCCACCATTTACAAGGCAATGTTCAGGTGTATAATGTAAGGATCCCTGTGAAAAGGGCTTTGAGTGCCAGAAGGATTGCCTCACGTTGCCTCCACAATGGAACTTCATCAGCCTGCCTATGGGAACGGGGAAGGGCCAGAGAGAGCGGGAGAGGGCAGCAAGGACGAAAGCGATGATTGAGATTGCAGTTATTCCTACTTGTTTGTGCTGCGTGATATCCCAGCAAACTTGGCCAACCGGCTCTTTGAGCAGTTGACGACATCAAAGTTAGGAGGCGGCAAGAGCTGCGCAACCGAGTTGGGTTGCAACGCCAGGAGCTTCAACGTGAGCTGTTTTGTGGCGCAGTTCTCTTCTCTCTCGGCACCTCTTTTCTGTTTTCTTGTTGTGTTTGTGATCCTCTCGCTCTAAGACCACAACTGCCTGGGCAAGAGCATGTTGGCAAACATTCAGCATGATCAATCTTATGACTTTCTTGCCGCCAGTGCTCAACCACCGAAGTGCCTGACATGAAGTGCCTGCCGCTGTACATAGTGAAACGGCGCCATGCCTGAAAGCCAGGGCAATGGGCTGAGGGCACTGTGCCCACAAGGCAAATGCGTGACAAAACTCAAGCGCAAGAGCTGCTCGCGTGCCATGAGCTTGTAGAAGGAGCAGCTCGAATCTAAGCTTTTGTGAGGTTTGGCGGGCTGACATCCGTCCGAGGCTCTGCAGTTGTTTGTGTTCTTCAAGCACCGCGGCAATGAACAGCGAGTTGCAATGGCTTAACTTAGAGGAGTTGTTGGACGTACCCACAAAGCGTGGTGCCGAGCAAGTACTCCCAACAAGCTTGATTCATGGGCTCGTCGAATATCAGTTATGTCTCCTTGACTACGTTGCCAGCGCAGGGTTTAATAGCAACCGAACTCATACCAAGATCAGCTCGATAAATTGTTTGATACCAGTAAATCCGTCGCTGCCATGAATATCACTCAGCTGCCGGCGCAGCCACGCGTGTGCCACGGCTTGGTATGACAGGTTAAGAAAATTATGTGAAAGTCTTTGCTGATGGCAGTGCTTGCAGATAGGAACCTCTGAATTGTCCCCCCCAGGTATCCGGTCATTCCTTTTCCTCTATTCCCTGTAACCTATAGTAGTATGTATGGGGATGTCGGGGTACAGTCGCATTTTTCTGCATTAGTAAAAGGTAGGTTACTCACTCACCAAACAAAAGGGCAGAATCTATATTGACGTGGCTCACATGACGGCCCCCAAGATTTTGCAACGGGAGGGTCAGTGAAGAAAATGTTGCCTTCGCGCAGCTGCGTCATCGGCGCTGGCGCTGCGGGCTTGACGACCCTCAAGCAGCTGCAGGACTTTGGGATGTTCATTGCAGACAACATGACATGGCAGGGCTTGCGGAGGCTGTGGTTTCGCGGACCACCGATACTGATTTTGTTTGATGCCGCAAGAGCATGCGAGGCTGCAGCTTGCTTGCAGCGTTGCAAGCCTGCTTGGCAAAAAGACTGGTGATAATGCAGGGATCCGCCGTCCTGTTCTTTGCTGCTCAGGCTCGTCGATGTTTGCTTTGCACAGGACGCCGGGATTACCCGGCTGGAATGCTTTGAGAAGGATAGCGATATCGGAGGCTTGCAGGGCAGGGCTCGATTTGCGAAGAGTCTTGCAAGGATTGACACAGAACATGGACACGACTCTGAGTCAGCGAGGCCTTTTTAATTATGGCGTGAACAAGACCGGCGTGTACTTTGGCAGGAAGGTTGGTGCATTGATTCTGCCCTGAGCTGCGCCCCTCTTTTGAGCATGGAAAGCGCTGGAGGGTTGTGCCAAGAAAGACAGTGTAGCAGAAAACCGCAGCAGCATTTTTCGGGATGGAAATCAGCCCAAGATTTGCAGGCCCGACTGACTTGTCTGGTGAGGTATGACAATGCGACCCTCACCATCAGCAACTACTTCATGGCCTTCTCCGACATGCCGCCGAAGGGGTGAGCCAGCATTTCGGGGGGAGGCGTTCGAGAGCACGAGAGGGTGGGTCAAAATGTCCAGTCGCTGAAAGGGTGCGAGCTGGGTGGCTCATTTGCCTGCCTCCAACATGCAGTTTGCTTTGCGACCGTTTTGCCGCTTTCTCATGGCTGAGATGCCAGGCATCGCTACCACTGGCACCACACGGAGTACAAGAGGCGCAGCTCCGGGAGAGTCCAATATAGATTTTGGAACATGAAAAGCATTTTCGTAAAGTTAGGGATGGATTTCGTGGTGGACGAAGTGTTTTCGTAAGCTTAAGTGGAGATTTGTTACTGCTGGCTGGCGCCCATTTGCCCGGATTCAACGTGCAATCCTTGCTTTGCGTGCGGGGATGACACTGAAAAGACTAGAGGCCGGCCGAGGTCAGGCCACCCACAAGCATGTTGAACCATGTGGGGGGGGCAGAGTCGCAGAGAGTGCAGGTATTTGGAGGAGTACGTGAGGCAGTTTGGCTTGTCAAGGCCTGGAGACCAGCATCGCTAGCTGACATGAGCATGCTGGTTGCCTGGGTGCTCAACGTTTTGCTCATGAATTCCACCTAACCTCTTTGTTTGTCGCCTTCTCTGCTGAAAGATAGTGTGATGTTGCATAGATTGTTGCAGGTTCTACAAGGCACTTTCTAGAACCACACTATGCCAGACTTCCAGGAATCCAATTGGAGCCCTTGCCTCCCTGCAGCATCCCAGCCACTGCCTGCGACACGGTTACTCCCAAAAAGTGCTTCTCAAGATGCAATCGGGTGAGAAGACAACCTGCAAGAGGGACCAAAAAAGCGGAAATTCCAGCTGAAGCACAACGCAGTTTAGGTCACCAAAGCCATTACAACATTATTACAACTCCTAGCCTCTAAGAACACTTTCAACCCTGGGGAATCTCTAAAAGTCCAAGCAGCTCTTTGAACAACTGGACAAACCAAAAGAAACTAAGCAGTCTCAGGATTTGGGAGGTTTGTGAGGCCAAATGTCACAAACAAAAGTTTGCTTGATTCCTTTTGCAGCTCGTTTTCAGCAGCAACCAGTCCATTGGCTATTTGCAACTTTTTGACCAGCCAAGGGAAACATCACAGCCCCAGTCTGCAAAAGGCATACAAGTAGAGTTCAAGAGTGCTCATTTCAAATTTCGGCAAGACAGGGCGTGGCCAGAGGTTGGCACGAATGATGATGCGACTTCTAGTTCCTAGATAGACGTGCAAGCTCCAGTCTTGATGTTGCCACGTGAATTTGTCCTATCATTCGCCCTCCAGCAAGTCTTGACACCGGTCTCGTAATCCTTGGTTTGTCCTGTGGCGTGGCTGGTCGATCCACAAGCCATCCCAAAGTCCTGCAATACGTCCCCTAGCAGTTCGCCAGCCAATCCGACCCAGGGGCATGGAATATCTACAAGGAGCGCACCTGCACATTGTTGTATTACTTGCCTGGGGCTTTACCCCTTCCATTCCAAAAGCGTTGTCAAACAACCCCATGCTGAGGACATACGCGTGGTGTGTGCGTTTACATGTGCTCACTTCAAGCACACAAAGGCCGGCAGGTGGCGGAGCTTATGTATAGATATCTATGCACTATGCAGATGTTAAAACACTTCCACACAACAAACATGTACGGCCACGAATTTGAAGCGACTGCGCTTTGATTGGTCGCCAGCAGCCTGGTTGAGGTACATTTCATTCAGCACAGCTGCCAGAGCCTTACCAGGGTGGCATGAACGCATGTGCTGGTCCATGGCAATCGTTTTTCCCCTAAACAGCAATCACTTTGCAGAGTCATGCCCCTGCAAAGGTCGCCTCTGTTGAAGGCGCTCCAGGCAGCGATGGGTGCATGCGAGGAAGGGGGGGGAGTCTGGAGCGACGGATGCTTCGCCATTGAATACCACAGACGAATCTTGCCCGTGGCTGTTGAAGCAGGAGTTGTGCAATCAAGCCATCAGGCCAGTGGCGTGTGACGACCCAAGACGCTTCTGGCCAGCTGGTGGACAGAGGCGTTTTTGATGCTGTGGCCCGGCGCCCAGCACAAAACGCGATTCATGAGTGTGGTTTCGCAGCTGGCAACTGTTGGCGCGACTGAAATACCATGTTAATATGAGCCACTTGCTCAAAACCCGGGTAGATGAAGCTTAGTAATTCTTTACACGGTTCTGGATCAACCAACCATCTTTATACAGGGTGTTGACTTTGACTCATATGTTGTTTGTCATTGGTTTGCTGACCCATGCCGCTGAAGTTCCGAGGCTGTGTGCTCCGGCGCACATCAAGCAGTCAACCAGCCCTCCTTTCCTGGAATTGATAGCTTCAAGGGACAGGCCAGGCCGGTTGCCCCCCTGCCCGCTGATTTGGACTTGAGATGATATGGGTGTGGGTCAAAATTAAACCACTCGGGGACCGCAGGGTTTAGTCCATGTTTCCATTTACTAAGGTTCCATTTTGGGTACCTATTTTTGACCCACAGCCATATGTTAACATTCAGAATCTGCAGAACGAAGTTTCTGCCTGCATTGTCCATGCTTCCATCAGTTGCCATTTTACCGAGAACATAGCTTTTGGCCAATTGACAGTGCATGAAATTGTAGACCGCTCCTGTCTCAGCCAGGTTGTTCACAGTGCCTTGATAGCACTGGAGTCGCTGCTTTGAGTTTTGCGATGGTTTGCGGCCATAGCGAGGTTGCGTTCTGGTTGAAACCTGTCTAGTGCTCGCAATGATCGTGTGGGAGCGGTGTGTGGCTCCGAGCTAAGCCAAGGCAATAGCTACAAGAACAACAAGCCCTTCGAGGGCAAGGACATCCCCAGAAGTTTGCGCCTTCCACTTGTCAACAGTAATTCTTCCGAAAGCTGCGAAATGTACTAGCCATTCGGACAGGGTGGGCTGGCGTTCGAGCCTGCATGTTGCCTTAGACATCACAAGCCGTTGAGCTTCCATCAAAGGATTCAAGTGGCCAGAAGATGCTAAGCTTCGGATTGCTTGACCTTTTTGCTCAGAGGAGCCTGGCCTTTCTTTGCTTGAAACTTGAGGTGGATTGGGGTTTCGCCCGTCTTCTCCTTCAAAACAAGATTTGATGCCAGGTTCTGTTTCCTTCGCTCTTTCCTTCAAGCAGCGTACTGTGCGGCGCAGCGTTCACCAGCCGCCGACACTCTTTGAGGAGTAAGCGCACCAGGGCCACGAACACAGCGACGCTGATGCCAACGCTTTCCGCGCATGGAAAAGGCACGCAAAAGGCAGCTATGTTGAGACCGTTTGTGATCCGTGGAGATTCCATGAAAGGAATATTATCCTGGAGTCTGTTGCGAAATCAAGGGACATGCAGAAAACACTTTGTATCGTCCAAACTACAAAAAAAAACTAAGGGTGCTTGCATGTGGTCGTTTTCGAAATCCAATAAGCTTCAACGAGTGCCACTGCACTGCACCCTCCGAAAACGAACTCGACAAATGCATTGACACTGACTGGAGAACCAGCGGACAGCACACATGAGCCCCATGACCCACTCCGGCGTCCCAGAGCCCAACGTGGTTCAAAACAACGATGAGAAGCTGCCAATCCTCAGCAGCTCAATCACAAACTGAACAAAGCATCAAGAAGCACAGGATGATGCAACCCAACCCCTTGGAGCCTGGGCTAAACAGCTTTGCTTGAAACAAAGTCAAATTTCACGATCAAAATGCTGGGAAAGGATTCCGGAGGAAGACGCCGATTGCATATTTCCTCTATCTTGTTTTTGTTTTCCTGTCTCGCCCTTCTTCCTTGTTCGCATTGTCAGAGGCCTGTGAGAAAGACCCCTTGAATCCAGAACCTCACAATACGAGCGACACCACTCGGAGTCACTCGCCTGAGTCGCAAAATCCGGAGACCCTTTGGCCACCAGAGCTCGTTGAGCACAAAAGGGCAGCAGTTGGCTTAGCGACGTTCTGGCATTTCCGAAGTTTTATAGGAAATGCCAACACCTCACCCCGTCCAGTGAGTTGTTGGTCAGCATCAGACGCTTCCCTTGTCTAGTTTAGTTGATAGAGCTGCCCAAAAAGCGGCGGAATCGTCGTCCATTGCAGTGGCCAGGACTGTGTGGTTGTGGGGCTCGGTGAGAGCGGCGCTGACCTGGTTCGCGAGATCTCAGACGCTGGGGGGCCCAGGCGAGACATGAGCCACTTGCTCAAAACCGATTCGGGTAGATCAAGGTGAGTAAGGGACAATCCCGACCATAAATAGCTGCGGATATCCGCCTTCTTAGTTCTTTGCGTGGTTCTGGGTCGACCATTTTAGTACTCTAGGAATAAATTCTACGCGAAAAGAACAGCAAAGCGCCCAAGGATGAAGAAATGTCTCAGGCATTCTGGCACAAATTGAAGTTTCGAATCACTGTGGCAGTGTCAGGCTCTAGCTCCTGTTTGCATGGCCGATGCAAGTTCAGACCGCATCATGTCCACTTCAGAACGAGAGACAGAGAGACATAGACAGAAGGAGAAACGAGGGGAGAGGAGGAGAGAGACAAATGGTCGGCCAACTCAAATGTTGTCCGAGGTGGCCACCTCCACCGCCATGGGCCAGGGGGGCCCCTCTGAGATTTCTGCGTGCAGCCGGTCAACCAGCCGGCAACCCCCCGGAAATGGCATCAGCCTAGTGACAGATCGATATAGATGGTCCATTCTCACTAGACGCATCGTCCACGGTGGAAGTCGAGGTCAAGGGGCGGATTCGTCGATTCCTTTGAGCCGAAGCACGTCCCAAGCAGTGAACCCGCCGAGGTGCTGGCCTTGCGCAGCTATCCCTATTTGATTCCACGGCTGGCTCAGGGCTCAGACAAATTCTCCCTGGGCAAGAGGACCAACTGGCTATGGGTCAAAACCCAAATCGTAACCCCAGCGAACATTTCAATCCAACCACTAAAATAGGCTAAAATGGGTGGTGAATTCACCGTGCACCTACCCCAAAATGGCACCCTTGGTTTTGACCGACGGCCAAATCTGAACACGACTGATGTTGAACTGAGGCTCGTCCGTTCCATCAGAATCCGCTGGGATGCTCCTCCGACGCCTTCACGCTGCATGCTCAGCCGGGTGAAATTTGTGCCATGCTCAGCTGCAAAGGTATTGCGGCACCAAAGAGAGCTCCAGTTGCTTGGCTGCGCGTCGCTGCCATGCCCAGGTCTCACCTTCGCCACGATTTCCTGCTCGTCCCGAGGAGGCACTACAGGAGGCAGGCAAAGCTCATGCGAAATATTTGTGTGAGTCATTCATGCGCAATAGAAGAAAAACTGTAGCTTGGAATCCGGCTGAAAAGCAGCTGTGTGAACAAGGGAAGCAACATAGCAGTAAAAAGCCACACGGCTCGCTCATGCAGAGAGGTTGAAGCACTTCCTCAACCGCCTCATGTGCACCTTGGCCGTCTGACGCTCAGACCAAGATACAGCGAAAGGGAGTTCGAATGCTTCTGTTGCGAGTGCTACTTGTAGCTTGCAATTTGAGACTTTCCTCGGGTCCTTTGCCTTGAGCTTGAACGTCGATTCGCATCGAACGCCAGGCATTGCTCTTCTGGCTTTTTCCCTTCTTGGGAACAGGCCAGGAAGCAGATGGCTCTGCAAAAGGAGCATAGAGCCCCCCTTTGCCCCCTTTCAAAGGGGGGTGTGGCCTCCCTTCGGTCTTTGCATTTCATTTTGAAGCAGTGTCCTCGGATTCAATTGAATTGCTTCACGTGCGCGACAGGGGACCACCCCTACAAGGAAGACGCGTTCCATCAAGCTGCTTCTGCCAACTACTTGGACAAGGACGAATGTACTTGAACCACCCACGCAGAGGCAACAACAGCCTCCAATGAAGCCAAAGTCTTGCCCCGCCATTCCAGCACGACGCATGCCTTGCGCCACGGCAAGCGCAAGAAGTGGTGCAGGATACACCGTACTCCCAGCTGGTGGCAAGCCTCATCTATGCTTGGAATCTGCCTGAGAGGGGTGACCGGATATGACCGGATATTTGAATCGTTTGCTTGAACGGGATCCTTGCCGGAGTGACGCAGAGGACTTGCCATTCCAACTCCTGTCTTGTGAGGGCGATGCCACAAGTTTTTTCACGAGCGAGCGCGGAGCAGCCAATCACTGAGGGAAGGAGAGCTGTCCTCAATCCTGGCCAAACGGTCCGCAAGCTGTCTTGCCAATCGTTCAATGCTTCAGGTGCAACCGCTCCGGCCAGCAAGAACTAGGACAGAAGCCGGGCGCCTAGTGGTTTGACATTGACTGAACATGCCATACTTGAACGCTTCTGGCTCAGACCGCCGACCAATGTTATGTATCTGTCAGGTAGAATATCGGTCTCTTTGCCATAAGCAATAGGAAGTTACCACGCGCGGCTGCGTGCAATGAGCAGAGATGGGCGTGGGGTGTTTTCTTACATGTGTGCGTGTGTGTGTGAAAACGCGTGCGGCACGTGTAGCAATGGACCTGGTGAGAAGCTGTGCGCGATGGACTCTGCTGACGCTTCTTATTGCTTTCTTTTGCTTGCATTCTTTCCTCTGGAAAGGCTCCACATGCCCTCGTTGGTTCATTTCTTCTCCCGTCGGGTGATATAGCATTTTGCAACTTTCTCTTTTGGAGATCCCTACAAGTTATGATTGAGGGGTGCTACTGAGGCGACCAGGCTCTTCCTTGCTAGTCCTTCTTCTTTTTCTTCCGTGTCTTTCCCTTGCAAAGCTCGCTGCGGGACTTGAGTAGGGGCCTTTGGTTTGCCTCCGTTTGTTCAAGCTCTCTTCCCTAGCTGGGGATGTGTGCTGTTGTTTGTTTGTAATTATCCAAGAGTTTGTCCTGCTGATGCCTCTTAATAAACGTTTCTTTCCTTGTGTTTGCGTTCGTTCACGAAACTTGAGTAGGCCTTTGGTTTGCCAGGCTCAATCTCCAGCTGCTACACCCGTCCTAAATCTACCTGGCACAACATAGACCGTGTTTGCGTTACTGCGCGGCAGATGAAAACCACCTTGGTGTGCCTCTGTTCGCGCGCGCGTTTGTCCTTAGCTGGGGATGCCGGCGGTTGTTGTTTTCACCTTTGCTTTTTAGGAAAGGTCTCCACAAGTGAGGAATGGGGGGGAGGGGCGCTACTGATGCAATCAAGCTCATTCCTGTTGATGTTTCTTGTCCGTTTGTTCTGTTTGCTCTCTTTCCTTTTGACAGGTGCCCAGGACTTTGGTAGCCTCACAGTCCCCTGCATTGAGTGTTTCGCTGCTCTGTCATGTGGAGTGCCCGTGGTTTTTCATTTTTGCCAATGTGCGGCTATTCTTCAAGAACACGCACAGACCGGACTGGGGACGCCTGCCAGTTGGGTTTTGAGTTTTGCCGAGGCTTCTTGTTGTTTGCTTTGTTTGCACATACATCTTCCCTCTGAAAAGCCCCCGCAGAACTTCAGTAGGGGCCTTGAGCTTGTCCTTTTTGTTCACCGTCCTTTCCTCAGGGTAAGGGGAGTGGTAACGGCAGGGCAGGAAAAGCTGCACCAACACGCCATTTGTAGTCGACTTCGCGCACGATGTCGGATACTGCTGGCTCCTGATGACAATCAAACGTCTTATCGTGTTTTTAAATGAAGCTTGCTTCCTGTCAGCACGACTGCGTGGGTAGGTCTTGTTGGGTTGCTTTTAAAAGATCACCGATTCTGACACAAGCCTTGTGCGTGTGTGTGTGTGTGTGTCCACAGCGTTGCGTCAGATCTCATTCTTAAGGCTTCTATTCTTGACTTGATTGAGCTCCTTTTCGCCGGCGGTTGTTTCAGGTGTCCTCGTATGTTTCTTGTTGGGTAGTTTCACCCTCACCTGTTGGGGCACTGTTCATTTGAGTTGCTGCTGGGGCGATGTTCCGCCGCCAGCAAAGGTTTGCGTGCAAGAATGTGATGTTTCTGGAGAATGTCGCACGGGGCAGGCGCGTTGCAGAGAGCCAGCAGTAGCCCCCTGCAGATTGGCATGGAACCCCAAAAAGGGGCCCAAAACAAGGAGCTTGCAAAAGACGATTCTTGAACTCCATCATATTCTGCAGGAGCATACATGGGGTGGCTAGGTGTGGGTGCGCTTGGCCAGGATCAGCACGAACCCAACTGGCCGCGCCCCTATTTGTGAGGCTGAGAAGCGCACTCCTTTCGCCTGGGGTGGCGCCAGAAACCTGCCACATCCAGCGTGATATGCTTCAGGTATCGACTTCGTCGATGCTGACAGCGTTGTGTTCCGCGATGGCTCGCGAGTGAAGTGCGACTGTTTGGTCATGTGCACGGGATATCGCAGCTCGGCGGCATTGAGAGTTTCACAAGCGGCATACGGCCAGGCGCCACAATGCACCGCAAGCACAGCCAAAGTTAAAGAGCGATGTACGCCTCAGCAAAGGTGACGTGTTCCCCTTCTTCAAGGGCAACATAGGCGCGGGACGTGAGCCATGGCAGGGGCTGCCCGCTGCACGAATGACAGTCCTTGAGCGCCCGAGTTGTGGCAGCACGTGTTTGGCTTCTCGCTCGATCTTTGCTCTGCAGTTTTGGAAAGAGGAGCAGCAAGTGTCATTCTTGAGCGACCACTGGCGTTTGGCGTTCAGATTTGGCTTTATATTTCTTAGATATTCAGAGAAGCAACCCTTGGCTGGGCGTGAGGCTGCCTCCCAGTAGGCTTGGAGAGCAATCAGATGGCTCGGAGGGTTTGCTTTTCTGTTGACTTGCCTTGCCAATGAGGCAGCTGCCTCTTGGGCTCAACTGGTGTTGTTTGTTCCGACATGCTTGCCTGTAGGGAAGGAAACGGATGGGAAGGGAGTAGAAGAGCGTGCGGTTGCATTTTCGCAGTGGCGAGTGCCTGAGTTTCAGGCATTTCGTCACAAGGAGTCTTTGCGCATAGTGGCCTCCTGGATTCATGTCCCACGGTGAGGCCAGAGCGACGCGCCGCTGTCAGTCCCTGACAACAACGTGCGCCGGCTCTTCAAACACATCTTTCATCCGCAGGCGCCATTTCGCGAGGTTCACATGACACTGAACGGGCCGGACACAAGCTTGATCACATGAATGTGCTAAATATGTGCTGGTTCTATGAGAGTGAGCATCACCAGTTGGCTAGCACTTTGATACGTTCACTCGCCCATCCTCCCAGATGTTCCTAATATGCTAGGGCTGCTAGGAGTGCGAAATGCCGTTTTTCAGCAGGCCAGTTTTCTCCAACTCTCCAAGTCACATCCTTGCACCGCGCTTTGCTCTGCAGATTGGGAAGACCATGGCTTGGATTGGCTTCGTCCGGCCATCCACCGGTGGCATCCCAGCGCCTTTGGCTAAACTTCAGTGAGAAGCCTGGAGTGCAGAAGAAACTCCTTGATATTCTCTATGACATACACAAAAGTTAGACCCAAATTTGACACATTTTCGTGTATCTCAACAAGCGCTAGTAGTGATCACTGGAAGTGAATGATCGCAAGAACGTGGGTACATGCACGTGGACTATGTCCCTTGACCATCGTTGTGGAATGTATAGGATGGAGTCTCGGCGCTCGTCGCCCGAGCACAAATTCACAACTCAAGGCTTGCGCGGAGATGGCTGCAAGATACTTCGCCGAAATCTCAGAGTGCTGCACTCTTTGTTTGGAGGTGAGGAATCTGAGAGACGCTACAAGCTATTGAGGGAACTAACGCATTCTCCTTGAACGTTGCTGGCAAAAGCGCGTTCGTGATGCATCGCAGGCCTTGCTTTTGTCCGGGCAGCGCGAGCTGCCGCTGCCCGAGCTTTCTGCACCATGAAAAGGCTTGATGTTGCAAGTGCCAGAGAGCCAAAGGAAGGAAGCGATTCGAAAGCACTGCCGTGTTTTGGAAAGTGGTGGTGTTTCTTTTTTGCGCAGAGCGTTGTGACTATCGATTGCTCACACCTGATTGCTATGAGGCCGGCGGATGTTGCCAGGCGAACCATCGAAGACTACGAGTTTGACATGCGCTGCTTGGCTGAAGTAGCTCTCATCTTTCTTTACAACAGCGAGGTAAGTAAGCTGGACGCGGGCTGCGCTTGACGCTATCAGGCCCAGAGCCAGCTACATTATGTGGCTGTGGGTCAAAACCCTGTACCCCTGGTGTGAACATCAAAATAGGTGGCAAATGGATGTTCATCCACCCCAAAATGGGATCGCCATAGGTTATGCAACCCATGGCCGTGTGGTTGTTGATGGTTGAGGAAGCAAATGATGTGATTCCTGCTTCAACCGGCCCGAAGCCAAGGCTATTTCTGTCTCTCCCCTGAGGCCATTTCCTTAGACGCGTGCGTGAGCAGTTACCCTGCCAGCTAACATGGTTTGGTGCACAGACCCCTTTCGAAATGCTTTCCTCTTGGTTAGTTGGCCTTTTTGCACAAACCCATGTTAGTTGGTGGAAGATGGTGGGAGGCGCAGAGTCAAGTTTGGGCCCCGTTTGCGAGGTGAAGACACTTGTGGGCTACAAGGACTGGATGGACTCCATCGCGGAGCTGGTGGGATGCGATGCCAACTGCTGAGCGCACTTTACAACTCATCAGCATAGGTGTCCTTTTTAGGTTAGTTTAGTTAGGTTAGTGTGGTGTCCTTTTTAGGTTAGTTTAGGTTAGTTTGGTTTAGGTTAGTTTAGTTTGGTTGTTAGTTTGGCACTGGTTTAGATGGATCTTATTCCAGTTTGCCAGGGCCATCTATTTTTCCCAAAAACACCTATGACTGACCGCGTTTGCTGTGGGCGGCAATGGTCCACGCAAATAGGTTCCTTCCACGCCTGTTGCAAGGGAAACCTTCTTTGCGCCTCAAGCATGACCAGTTTGTTCAAGACTGTTTGCTTGCATGAGCGCTGTTCCATGTTTCACGGGAACAAATCCCCCCAATTCAGCCGAAGAAACAAGCTGTGTTGTCACGCACGTTCTGAAGGACATTTACCTTTTGCCTATTCTCTCCATTGCTTCTGTTTGTGCGCGCGCGATTTGGATTGATTGCTATATTGCCGTATTCTTCGGCTTGTAGCACTGACGCTGGACAAGACAAACGTGAAGCTGCAAGAGAGCGGTTGCTCGAGACGCCCAATCCCAAGCTTGTCCACCAGCGACTGGTCGTTTGACGATGTCAGCCTTGCTCGATTACACGTTGCTGGATAGCAGGACACCGCCGAGACTCCATTGGGGCACCTGGCACGGGACGCCGAAACACCAGCCAGAGCCATGAGCAGGACACCAGGACACCGACAAAAGACCACACCTGGACACTATCACCTGGCACCCACACGCCACCGGAACACCGGCAAAAAACATCCGACCAGAGAAATGAAGATGCCACAGAGCTGCAGAAGCATCCCAGTATAACACGCTTGCAGAGTTCGCTGGGTCCAAGCATTGGAAACACGCAAGAGAGAGGTTCCGAGAAGGCCCTGCGTTGCGTTGCCCAAGCACTGCCAAGTCAGCGCTGCAATCGAACACGATGTATGTTTGTATTGCGTAAGCGCTGACTGTCAAACGAACGCCTAGAATGGCCAAGGCTCGCGTGGGTTTTCCAAGGGTAGCAACACTGATTGGCTCACTGCTGTCCCTAGATACCATTTTGTTGGAAAGGCTCGGTGGAGTACTCAATCAAGGGAGTCTGGCAAGCACTTTCACGGCGTACTGAACTGCACACGCGCGCCCCCCCCCCCCCGCTTTAGCGTGCTCAGACGAACGAGAAAAGATTGAAAAGTGTGGAAACACCTTGCGTGCTTGCAGTGATGTGCAAGTGAATGGTTGACTTTTTTTGTGGGCCTTCTTCCTGCAGGGTTGTCCTGCTGCAGACTTTCGCAGAGCGGATCTGTTTTGCATTGTTCGCTGCGTATACGCAATCCTTTGCAGACTGATGGTCGACGCCCAAAAGTCGCTGTTGTGTTCATGATTGTTCATACTTGAGCAAAGACGGGTCAAGGAAAGCAGGCGTAAAGTAATAGAGGCCTCAAATTAAGAAGGGCGCCGTAAAACCTGTTAGCAAAGCAAAGTCAAGCCAAGCCATGGCGCGTGCTGTCAAGACGAGCCGAGTAGGTCGCTTGCGAGGTCAAGACACGTCAAGCCAAGCCAAGCCCGAGTCAAACCAAGTCAGGCAGGGTCAAGTTATGTGAAACCACCAACGAAACTCAAGCGAAGCCAAAGTAAGTCAAGTAACGCAATGCATGTAACCAATCCTCTTTGTCGGTGCGATTTACATCCATGCGGACATCCTGGTTTTTGCGATTGTATGGCAGCCGCTGAAGGGCTAGGCTCTAGTCTCTATCAAGGTGCAACTGTGGAGGTACGTGCGGTCCTCAGTGTGGCGCTGTGAGTTTTGGCCTGTGCATCAATGCGAGAAGTTCGCAATTATTGAAATTTGCAGACTTGGGATTAATTGATAAGTTCAATTATTGCAAATATTGCAAATATTGGAATTATTGGAATGATGGCCTATGTGAAGCTGAAAAGAGTCGAATGGTAGTGGAGGTCTTCTGCTCCTTGCCTTCTCTTTTGGCTCACCCATGCTCGGCTCAAAGAAGAGGGACAAAATCCTTTCTCGGATTTTGCTAAGATCTGCCATGGCAAGAGTCTCGTGTTCTTGAGGGCTTCCCCCACTTCCCAGGTCACGTCCAGGAAAGTTGAGTGGCTTCCCCAAAAAAGGATGTATAGGTGAAAGAATGCACACGGCTGAACCCTTAGCAACGTATGACCCATTCAAAGACGCGGAAAGACACGTCGCATTTCGGAAAAAAAAAGGAAAAAACGTTTGAGCGTGAGCAGCGTTCTATATTGACGGCCATGTTTATTCAAGGAGCGGAGAGCACTATGAAAGCACTCTCCTAGAGCCAATGCGCGGAAACCCGCGGATGGTTTTCAAGCAGTTTTATTCCGCAGAAGCTCCACCGAAGGACAAAAAGACGAATCTTCAAGAAGCGCAATCGAAAAAGGCGAGGCCGAGCCAACAAAAGCTCTCAGGCCAAGGGACACACAGAAACAAAGCGCACAAGACACTGCAAAGGGGCAGCCTCGGGTTGGTTGTCGCGACAGAGGCGCGCTCGCAGACCCGCGGAAGCCAAAACATGTGCGCGGGAGCAAAGTCAAGTAGCTGGAGAACGCGTGCGCGCGGATTCCCGCGGAAGCATGTTGAAGCAGAGGAGGCTCGCAGAAGGCAGCCCTTGCGCGCGCGGAAGAGCGCAGAAGGCTTCGCGGAACAATAAGAGAAAACGGCAGCAATTTAGAACCCTGCTCATGCGCATTCTACAAGCGCGCGCGGGTCCGAAATGCTAATACTTTGAAGAGCGTCTTGAAGCTGTATTCAGTTCTTATTTGAGTAGGCCGATTGCATCACAACAGGTCATCTCAGTGTGAAAATGAGACACTGCCACCTGAATTCAACGTGTGACATCCACCCAGGTGCTTCGGCCGAAGCTTCTCGTGCGCCTTTGCGTCGGTTCTCTGAATCCTCGGCCTGATTGAAAGAGCATAGGCCCAGGAGTCGTATCACGATGAGCCACATGACCACAGGAGCTTGACCACACTAGATGAATATTTTTCCAGACCAGGTCCGCAATTGCAGAGGAACTGATCGTCTTGGACTGCTTGCCAGGCTCCCCTGCCAGTATCGCCTGCGTGGTCCAGGGAGGCCGAAGGGTGTGCTGATGCCGAGAGTTTGTTTGTGGGAAGTTGGGTTCCCGATTTGCGAAGACTGCAAGCGCCTTCTGCCAGCTTGCAGATCAAGTTGCGTCGGCTCATCGTGTTGAGGACATAAATAATACATATGGCCATGGGTCAAAATCGCGTCCCCCGTGAACATACCATCCACACTAAAATAGGTTCTAAAATGGGTGGTGAATTCACCTACCCCAAAATGGTACCAAAACAGCTTTGACCAACAGCCATATGTGTTTTTTTGGTATTGCGGGAGTGGTCAGTGATGCCTAAGAATCGCTGGCTTGCATGCAAGGCTGCCAGATATGGCCAGCTCTGTGCTGCTGTCCCTGCCGGTGGCCGCCACTCCTTGGCAGAGTGTCTCGGAGGCTGTCGCTGTCGCCAGCCCCGACCAGTCGTGGGGGAGAAACTGCGCGTTAACACAGGCCAAACAAAAAGAGCTATCCCAGGATGTTCAGCTGCTTTCAGCCCAAGTTGAATCTTGGCCCTCCACTATAAACAAGAAG